CTTTTAAAATACATATTAAAAAACATGTTGCAAGAATAGTTATATTGATATGAGTATGAGTACCTATTACTGATGTACGTTAGGGTAAATTTGCTTTGCTTTAGTATATTTTTGCACATCAAACAACATTTTTGTTGCGCGTTTGAGAAAAAAATAGGTATAGTACACTTTTGATGTGTATTTTCCTATTATTTCTAGTAGGTACTAGTTTTGTTAAACAATTTGTTTATTTGCAATGAAATAATTTATTTGATGTAAAAGTTATTTAAATTGATGAAAATAAATTGATATAGGTGCGATAAGTTATTTGATGTGCGATTAATAATATCCCAAAAAAAATTGTTGGAGTTATTTCCGATTTCAAATCTAATTCTGCTGGCCTAAATACATATAAGTATATAATACAATAATATGCCAAAAACGAGATTTGCTAATAACTTTCCAATAAGTTGTTTTGACAAATATTTTTTTTCCACATGAAAATTTGCGAAACGTAGTTTGCTATGTGATTTTTTGGAAAAGTATTTGGCCAAATCTCGAGGGAAGCATCTATTCTAGATGCAGGTGGATTGTGGTGGAAACCGTGGAATACCTTGGGGTAGGACTAACTGCTGTCTTCACAAACGATGCTTAAGTGAAGCAGAAAATCGAACGCACAGCGTTGAATAGAGCTCTGTGATTGGTTCATGTGTCACCCTGCGCGTCCACGCGCACTGTGAGACCTCATGTTTGTGAATACGGGCGTTAGATCCTTCATTCAGCAGAGGACGTCTTGAAACGAATCACACCTGGGATAAAATCTCTTTCTTAGCTAGACCTACGAGTTATGTAAGTAAAAGGCCACTGTGAAAACCAAAGCATCCACAAGTAAAGTCTCATGGTGGAACTCTAAGCTGCAAAAGCTACGAGAAGAAACCAGGAGACTCTTTAATAGAGCTAAAAATCCCATGAATGGGACACATATAAGAAAGCTCTAACCAAATATAACACTGAGATCAGGAAAGCAAAGAGAGCATCGTGGAGGAAACTGTGCGAGGATGTCGAAAGTCTTCCTCGAGCAGCAAGACTCCAAAAAATGATCTCCAAAACTCCTGTTAGGCAGATTGGGCTTCTGAAAAGACCCGATGGAACTTTCACTTCATGTGAAAACGACACATTGGAGCTGCTGGCAGCAACCCACTTCCCTGGATCGGTGGGCAGCAATTGCTCGGCGACTACACATAGCAACCTTCGCAGGCCGAAGAATGACGACTGGCGGAGGGCTGCTATAATCATAAGACCCAACCAGGTAAAATGGGCCATCAGCTCCTTTAAACCATATAAAGCGTGTGGCGAGGACAACATATTCCCTGCTCAACTGAAGGAGGGGATGGAAATCCTCACTCCACATCTGGTCAAAATCTTCAGAGCCAGCTTGGCCTGGGGACATATACCGGAACGATGGACCACAGTAAAAGTCATATTCATTCCAAAGGCTGGCAGAAAGGACTACGCCTTGCCAAAGTCCTTTAGGCCAATAAGCCTCTCATCCTTCCTTATGAAGGTTATGGAAAAGGTAATTGACATCTATATTAGGGACGTAGCACTAAAAACGAAACCTATTCACCACACACAGCATGCCTACCGCAGAGGTAAATCTACGGAAACAGCCCTGATCAGCCTGATTGACAGGGTCGAAAAGGCACTGGAAGACAAGGAAATCGCGCTTTGCGCATTTCTAGACATAGAGGGAGCTTTTGACAACACTCCTACTACACTGCTGGTCGAAGGTCTGGTTGCAAAAAGCCTTGACCTGACGACCACGAGATGGGTGGAGTCGATGCTCTCCAACAGGAGAGCTAAGGTATCTCTGCTTCAAACCACTATGGAAGTTACAACCACCAGAGGATGCCCGCAAGGGGGCGTGCTTTCGCCCCTTCTCTGGACTCTGGCGGTTGATACACTACTGTATAAAATGGCCGACCTCAACATTGACACTCAAGGGTACGCTGACGACCTTGTTGTCATAGTAAGGGGCTTCTGCCAAAGTACAATATCTTCCATAATGCAAAGAGCGCTAAACACCATAGGTGGGTGGTGCAAAAGAAACAGTTTATCAGTTAACGCTGATAAAACTGTCATTATTCCATTTACCAGGCGTAGACAGTTGAACAAACTAGTCAAACCCTCTCTAAATGGAAAAGAGATCGAGTTTTCCACGGAAGTCAAATATCTGGGCGTCACTATCGACCAGAAACTAACATGGAATACTCACCTTAATAACATCATACAAAAGGCAAAAATTGCCTTAGGCTCCTGTAGCCGCATGATGGGCAACAATTGGGGCTTGAATCCCCGATCTGTCTTATGGCTGTATACCACTATCGTGAGGCCGACTATATCGTACGCCTCTGTAGTGTGGTATCACAAAACCAGCCAAAAGACAGTAACAGTTAAACTAGGTAGTCTGCAAAGGCTTGCCTGTCTCATGGCAACTGGGGCAATGTCAACCGCACCTGGGGCGGCCCTGAACGCACTACTGTGCCTAACGCCCCTAAGTATGCACATTGCTAAGGAGGCGGAGGCAAGTGCCTACAGGATAGACGCTCAGGGGGGCTTCCATTGCATATCCCAGAGAATGAGAACATTACTGGAGGCTATAAAGAGCACACCTACTCTTTGCATGACTTCTGACATCATGGTTCCAAGTTGTAGCTTCCAAAAGAACTACAAAGTGGAAATACCACACAGGGAGGACTGGCTGAACAAGCAAGTCACCTGTGAGAAGGGCAGCCTTATATGGTTTACTGATGGGTCAAAAATGGGCCCTAACGTAGGCTTTGGCGTGTATGGAGAGCAGCCGAAGCTTAGGCTATCTCAAAGCCTGGGCAAATTTGCCTCTATCTTTCAGGCAGAAGTCTACGCCATTATTGAATGTGCGGAAGCTAACCTGCGAAAAAATTATGCCAACCACATAATTTACATTAACTCAGACAGTCAGGCCGCGCTGCTGGCCTTAAACTCCAACTTAATCACCTCAAAGTTGGTAGAAAACTGCATGAGTCGACTAAATACTCTAGGAGAACGAAACAGAGTAACGCTGAGATGGGTTCCAGGTCATGCGGGAATCGAGGGCAATGAAAATGCCGACGAACTAGCCAGAGCGGGAGCGGAGGGAACACAATATGGTCCAGAACCCTTTTGTGGTGTTCCCAAAAGTCTCGCTCGAATGACCCTGGAGAACATCTATTTAAACAAATCCTTTATGGCATGGTCAGACACGCCAGGATTAACTCATTCCAAAGCTCTCATAAAAGCCTATGATCGAAAAAGCTCTAAGCAGATCATAGGACTGAGTAGGACCAAAATGCGCATCTTAGTTCGAGCCCTCACTGGACACTGCAGCTTAAACAAGCACTTGTCCACTATGGGACTGTCCGAAACAAGAACGTGCAGGATGTGCCAAGAGGCAGATGAAACGCCACTACACATGCTCACGGACTGCGGACCTCTGATGCGCAAGCGGAGCTTACACCTGGGCAAACACATCCTAAGCCCACAAGATGTAAAACATATCGCCCCCCAAAAGATACTGCACTTCCTAATGGATGCAGGACTCGGAGGCGAACTGTAAGGAAAACAGCGGCGATCACAATAGATCGATAACGGTCGCAGTGATACTAGGACTTTATTGAACTAGAATAGCCGCTCAACACAAATAAAAAAAAAAAAAAAGGCCACTGTTTAGAATACGTGTTTAATAAGAATAAAAACTGTGTTACGATTCAGATCGACAAAATTTCATTGCTTGCTAAGCAATTAGTAAAACTACAAAAAATCTATAAGCATGAGGATTACAAGTAAAAACATAGTTTATTGAATTAAGTCGGAGAGTGTGTGTGTAACTCCCGTAGCTTTTAAGAGTCGTTGATCTTCAAAAGGTCTTTCTAATCTCCCATTCGTCTCTCGTTTGCAGAAAAGCGTAGTATGAAAATGTCGTCTTCAATATCTGAAACATTACAATGCAATACCTATTATCACGATTACGTGCTTATAAATTGTTATTTCCTGTAAAATAGAGTTAATTAACATAATGAAGAAAGTAATATTTTATTGTATTTTACGGGGATATTTCCACATACAACATTACTCTTACATTATTTTTTCCAAAATCTTTTGGGGTTTTTAATTAGGTACAGCGTTATCACAAATGCCAATCCGTCGTAGAGGTGATTTTTTTTAAAGATTTTAGCAATTTGTATTTCACAAATTACTAATAGTCCCGTTAGCCAGTCGTGTTAAGCTAAATAAGCTTGTGTTACGAGTGGGCTCACCACAATAGTCGAGCGGCGGTGGGATTCCCGCGTTCCTCGGATCTCGAGTCGGCCACTCTGACCCTTCACCGCTCGGCTATCGTGGCTATAATCTCACCAATAAGAATAATACAAATACGTAAACCAAACAGACAAACCGCTGGGCCCTGTATTTTTTTGGAAAATAGAACTAAGACCTCAGATCATAAAAGGGCTGATCTTGTACTGCGTCTTGTGCAGCAAGATGCATGCCGTCCGCCGGTTGCTGGTGTCCATGCACTCCCACGGCAGGAAGTAAGCTGAATCTATCTCGCTATATCTACATTGAAGGACTCGTATTCCTTACCCCGGTCATGGTGCTGACGCCGACGGCCGCCAGCCCCAGCGCCTTGAGGCTGATCTTGTACTGCATCTTGTGCAGCATGATGCACGCCGTCCGCCGGTTGCTGGTGTCCATGCACTCCCACGGCAGGAAGTAAGCTGAATCTATCTCGCTATATCTACATTGAAGGACTCGTATTCCTTACCCCGGTCATGGTGCTGACGCCGACGGCCGCCAGCCCCAGCGCCTTGAGGCTGATCTTGTACTGCATCTTGTGCAGCATGATGCACGCCGTCCGCCGGTTGCTGGTGTCCATGCACTCCCACGGCAGGAAGTAAGCTGAATCTATCTCGCTATATCTACATTGAAGGACTCGTATTCCTTACCCCGGTCATGGTGCTGACGCCGACGGCCGCCAGCCCCAGCGCCTTGAGGCTGATCTTGTACTGCATCTTGTGCAGCATGATGCACGCCGTCCGCCGGTTGCTGGTGTCCATGCACTCCCACGGCAGGAAGTAAGCTGAATCTATCTCGCTATATCTACATTGAAGGACTCGTATTCCTTACCCCGGTCATGGTGCTGACGCCGACGGCCGCCAGCCCCAGCGCCTTGAGGCTGATCTTGTACTGCATCTTGTGCAGCATGATGCACGCCGTCCGCCGGTTGCTGGTGTCCATGCACTCCCACGGCAGGAAGTAAGCTGAATCTATCTCGCTATATCTACATTGAAGGACTCGTATTCCTTACCCCGGTCATGGTGCTGACGCCGACGGCCGCCAGCCCCAGCGCCTTGAGGCTGATCTTGTACTGCATCTTGTGCAGCATGATGCACGCCGTCCGCCGGTTGCTGGTGTCCATGCACTCCCACGGCAGGAAGTAAGCTGAATCTATCTCGCTATATCTACATTGAAGGACTCGTATTCCTTACCCCGGTCATGGTGCTGACGCCGACGGCCGCCAGCCCCAGCGCCTTGAGGCTGATCTTGTACTGCATCTTGTGCAGCATGATGCACGCCGTCCGCCGGTTGCTGGTGTCCATGCACTCCCACGGCAGGAAGTAAGCTGAATCTATCTCGCTATATCTACATTGAAGGACTCGTATTCCTTACCCCGGTCATGGTGCTGACGCCGACGGCCGCCAGCCCCAGCGCCTTGAGGCTGATCTTGTACTGCATCTTGTGCAGCATGATGCACGCCGTCCGCCGGTTGCTGGTGTCCATGCACTCCCACGGCAGGAAGTAAGCTGAATCTATCTCGCTATATCTACATTGAAGGACTCGTATTCCTTACCCCGGTCATGGTGCTGACGCCGACGGCCGCCAGCCCCAGCGCCTTGAGGCTGATCTTGTACTGCATCTTGTGCAGCATGATGCACGCCGTCCGCCGGTTGCTGGTGTCCATGCACTCCCACGGCAGGAAGTAAGCTGAATCTATCTCGCTATATCTACATTGAAGGACTCGTATTCCTTACCCCGGTCATGGTGCTGACGCCGACGGCCGCCAGCCCCAGCGCCTTGAGGCTGATCTTGTACTGCATCTTGTGCAGCATGATGCACGCCGTCCGCCGGTTGCTGGTGTCCATGCACTCCCACGGCAGGAAGTAAGCTGAATCTATCTCGCTATATCTACATTGAAGGACTCGTATTCCTTACCCCGGTCATGGTGCTGACGCCGACGGCCGCCAGCCCCAGCGCCTTGAGGCTGATCTTGTACTGCATCTTGTGCAGCATGATGCACGCCGTCCGCCGGTTGCTGGTGTCCATGCACTCCCACGGCAGGAAGTAAGCTGAATCTATCTCGCTATATCTACATTGAAGGACTCGTATTCCTTACCCCGGTCATGGTGCTGACGCCGACGGCCGCCAGCCCCAGCGCCTTGAGGCTGATCTTGTACTGCATCTTGTGCAGCATGATGCACGCCGTCCGCCGGTTGCTGGTGTCCATGCACTCCCACGGCAGGAAGTAAGCTGAATCTATCTCGCTATATCTACATTGAAGGACTCGTATTCCTTACCCCGGTCATGGTGCTGACGCCGACGGCCGCCAGCCCCAGCGCCTTGAGGCTGATCTTGTACTGCATCTTGTGCAGCATGATGCACGCCGTCCGCCGGTTGCTGGTGTCCATGCACTCCCACGGCAGGAAGTAAGCTGAATCTATCTCGCTATATCTACATTGAAGGACTCGTATTCCTTACCCCGGTCATGGTGCTGACGCCGACGGCCGCCAGCCCCAGCGCCTTGAGGCTGATCTTGTACTGCATCTTGTGCAGCATGATGCACGCCGTCCGCCGGTTGCTGGTGTCCATGCACTCCCACGGCAGGAAGTAAGCTGAATCTATCTCGCTATATCTACATTGAAGGACTCGTATTCCTTACCCCGGTCATGGTGCTGACGCCGACGGCCGCCAGCCCCAGCGCCTTGAGGCTGATCTTGTACTGCATCTTGTGCAGCATGATGCACGCCGTCCGCCGGTTGCTGGTGTCCATGCACTCCCACGGCAGGAAGTAAGCTGAATCTATCTCGCTATATCTACATTGAAGGACTCGTATTCCTTACCCCGGTCATGGTGCTGACGCCGACGGCCGCCAGCCCCAGCGCCTTGAGGCTGATCTTGTACTGCATCTTGTGCAGCATGATGCACGCCGTCCGCCGGTTGCTGGTGTCCATGCACTCCCACGGAAGGAAGTAAGCTGAATCTGGCAACTTTTCAGTCTGCATGTTGAACAATATTTATAAAAAAGACACGTTAAGTTTAAGATAAATTTCAAGGATAATACTCGTAGTAAGTACCTTCTTCCTCATTGTATTTCAATACCTACTAAAATATAAATTATTACTGACCTCTGAACCCAACATCTCAAAAATGACTGACATTTGAATCAGTTGGCCGTATATCACTACAGTCAAAGGTCCATAACGAATCCAAGCACCCTGCAAAACAAACGCCCATCAAAAGGTTTGTTTATATTCATCTTTATACGAATACCAGCAAAGCTAAAATAGTACGTACACCTTCTGAACATTCCAGCAGTAACAAGCTACAGCAAACCAGATGAAAAAAGTAGTTAATGGCTAAGATGGGCCCGAACAACTCCGAAAGTTCATCTGTAAAACTTTAAAGCAGTTGAAATTAATATTTTTTTCCACATTTAACACGTCTTGAGTTCGTGAAATAATGATTGGTGCTAGTAGCGGCTGGGGCGACGGAGGCATGCGAGCAGCGATCTCCGTCATCGCTCCAATAGCGGCCCGACGGAGCTCGGTGACCATAGAGACCCCTTGCACAGTCGCGGTAACCTCTGAATGAAGCATTTCTTCCGCGATAAAATAAAATGTAATTCTCGTAATCTGGCTATTTTGCTGCTGGTTCTTGGAATTAAAATTAACAATATTTTGGGTTATTTTTTAAAGAACAAAACAGAATTTTATAATTACAATTCCATTGTTTTTTTGACATTTCAAAGTGTTGGTAACCCCAGCGTCAGTAACAATAAGAATTAACAAAAGACATACTCTTAGGTACCCGCTTCTTACTGGTAAATTATTATACATAATGTGTCCGTGAACATGCATGATGGTAGGCAAATTAAACGAAACAGTGCAACATTTACTTTTCAAGTTCTCTCAAGAAGTCCGCGTCAGGTTTCAGTAAAGTGTCACCACACCTTTACTGAAACTTAAGGGAAAAGGGGGGATACCTACATCACTTAATTATTATCATTGACTGAATGCTTCTTGTTGTAATTACTTGAAATATAATTTACTTGACACTGGTTAAATATTCAAACCGCACGGAGTCATAATAGTCCAGTCATTTCGTCCGAAAAAAAGGCAAATAAAAGAAAATGAATTTGCGCTTCTAATTTTTTAATATGTTGTAGGGGATACCTAGAAAAGCTTAACTTGAGATTGTCGACCAAGCTTTCCTAGGAGCTTTCGCCGCCATCTTGGAAAACGCTTAAAATTTGTTTTTCGGCAATAACTCGGCTATCCGATGAGATTCGAAAATTTTTGTAGGACACTTTTTGTAGCTTTCTTTGTGCTCTACAATAACGCCCGAACCATTTTTAGCGTATCATGCATCGTTATCGAGATATCGATCGATAAAGTCAAAAATTTTGGAAAAAGAAAATGAATTTGCGCTTCTAATTTTTTAATATGTTGTAGGGGATACCTAGAAAAGCTTAACTTGAGATTGTCGACCAAGCTTTCCTAGGAGCTTTCGCCGCCATGTTGAAAAAAGGGGTAAAATTTGTTTTTCGGCAATAACTCGGCTATCCGATGAGACTCGAAAATTTTTGTAGGACACTTTTTGTAGCTTTCTTTGTGCTCTACAATAACGCCCGAACCATTTTTAGCGTATCATGCATCGTTATCGAGATATCGATCGATAAAGTCAAAAATTTTGTCGATATCTCGATAACGATTCATGATACGCTAAAAATGGTTCGGGCGTTATTGTAGAGCACAAAGAAAGCTACAAAAAGTGTCCTACAAAAATTTTCGAGTCTCATCGGATAGCCGAGTTATTGCCGAAAAACAAATTTTACCCCTTTTTTCAACATGGCGGCGAAAGCTCCTAGGAAAGCTTGGTCGACAATCTCAAGTTAAGCTTTTCTAGGTATCCCCTACAACATATTAAAAAATTAGAAGCGCAAATTCATTTTCTTTTTTGAATGTACGTAATGACTGGACTATAATCTAAACAACAACAAAAAATTCAAAATTTGGCTTATTTGTATTACAAATAACATACCCAATTATTAGTTTATGATGTTCTATACATTCTTGTAATTTAAGGCGCACCGCTCTGTTTTCCTCTGCATCAAACATTTCTGATGAGATGTCTTCGTTTCCTTTGTGTTTTAAAATTTCCTTTAATTTGAAAACTACTTTAATTTTAGGCGACGGAAAGTTTTCAAGGTTGTATCTCAGAATGTACACGTGTCCGATTATTTGGAAAATTATCAGAAACAGTATTAAATCTATCCCGGATACCATGATACTGCAGTTGTACGATAGATATACATTATAAATGGTAGTACTCGTGAAGTAATCGAGTGGGTCAAAACCGGGATATTTGTAATATAAAGCAAATTCTAGAGTAAAGTTTTCAGTCTTGTAAATAAGAACGTTTGTAACGTTATTAAACAACGGGACAATATTAAAATTTATCATTGCAGTAGTAACTAATAATGCTACAAAAATTGTGTAATAATAGGAAATTTTGTCAACAGTTTCATTTATCTGAAAAAAGAAAAGAGAAATTATTATGATTTACGAGTACCAAATGGTACCAAATCATGACGTAGGGTAAGTGCGCTAGTTTTCGTCCAATATCGGAGTTGCCAACTTTGTGATGCGAAATTAATATCTTAAAATACCCTTACTCATATGACGTATCATATGTCGTTTTAGTCCTTATGTAGTCTACTTTACGTTAATATTATATGACAATAAGTAATGTACGCTAGTTTTCGACCACTGTGTAGAAAAAAGGGTGCAGTTGAATTATTAACTTAAAACCAATTCTACAATACAGTAACTATGGATTGTGGTATATCATTTGAAAGGTAATTTTGTTAGCTTTCAAATGATATCAAAAAGATTTAAATAAGTTTCTTACCTAAATTTAGGAATATATTGCAATAGGTCGAAGGACAAATGGACGAAAACTAATCTACAGGACTAGCTAATTTTAATTTTCGTCCACCCCAGAGCTTGTTCATGGAGTCATGGACGAAAACACAACAACGTTTAAAGCTGTTTTTTGTTTTCGTCCACATCTTTTTAACGGTTTTTATGGGTTTATCACTGTTAAAAAGTGGACGTAAACTAAAATGTTTAATGTAATAGCAATAAAGATCATATTGGAAGAAAAAAAATTGTATTTTGTAGGTCCATTGAAGTAAAATGATTATTAAAAATATTAACTAGGTGTCAGGGTTTCCGTCCACGTGGATGAAAACCAAAATCTTGCAAAATTGTCATGCTAGTATTAGTCCACTTAACTATCTAAGATTTCTATACAAAAACTTTAATAAACCTTTAAAATAGTGTTTATTATGCTAATAATTAGACATATGTGCCAAAAACATTTACATAAAGTAGCTAAAACAGAAATGAGGATCAGTACTATTGTAGAAAATACAATAAAACTAGTATCTACGTTAATCTTTAAGACATAAGAAAGGTATATCTTCTTGAATTATCCAAATCGGACCATTACTTACGAAGATATTAAGTAATAAACATAGGCCGTTTTTGCCGCTAAAAGTCAACGTACGCAGGGCCGCATGACGTCACTATATCCGAATCGAGCGCAGCCGGCGTACTATTGGGATGGAAAAATTTTTTTTCCAGCTAAACTATCAGTTTTAGAAAAAAACTTTTAATAACATTTATTCATCAAAATAAAGTAACCTATCGACCAGTAATAAGTCATACCCAGCTTATAGCCTGGGGGGAGGGGCAAGCCTTACCCGGCTTCTGGCCTTGGTGGGGAGAGGCAAGTCATACCCAGTTTCTGGCCTGGGGGGGGGGGGGGGGAATGTTACCCCCCGCTTCTGGCCGGGGGGGGTGGAGCCCATCTTCATAATTGAACATACCATGAAAGTTCCCTACCGGCACGTTTTTTACTATTGCACGTTGTTTTCCATTCACCTGTGTGCAGCAGCAACTTCCGTAGATTTTTTTTGGAGCTATTACTTGTCAAATTACATTTTCATGCAGGCAGAACTGTTACTTAGATATTATAGATTGTAACAAGTCCAAACTTGCACGAAAAGTTAGGTTTGTATTCTAATTTTCCGTATTTGTTTGTGGCAAGTCGGTCAAATGGACGAAACAGGAGCTGGACAGAAAACCGGCGCAATTACCCTAACAATATTAATAAATCCTTTGTTTAATTTTCTACTAAGCAGTAGTCAGTAGCTAAACTCTTTTTGTCACTTTTGTTCTAGCCATGAACAATCCATTGGATTTCATTTACTGGAAATCTTCATTTTTGTAGTTTTTTATGATAAAATATTCAAAATAAGCTGACGTAAAGGTAAAGGTCTGGTAAAGGTCGCGGGAAGAGCCTGGATGCGGGCAGCGCAGGACCGTTCATTGTGGAAAACCTTGGGGGAGGCCTTTGTCCAGCAGTGGACGTCATTTGGCTGAAAAGAAGAAGAAGAAGAAGAAGCTGACGTATTTATTTCTTCCCTATGTCACAGAAGTCATAATGCAGTTAGACACCCAGGTACATAGTGTTACAGTCTGTCTGTTAAAATCAATCGGGTGTTCAGCAGGGCTAGGACAAAGAATTTTAAAGAATTGATCCAAAAATGGGTGTTACCTGTCCTGTGCATTTTGCATTTTCTGTCAGTGTATGAAACTGGCAATAGAGTGACTTTGTGGCAAATTGACAATACGCATTAAATAACTTGTGTCTTGTACCTACATTATTAAAAAAAGTAAATAAGTACTTACCTGTTTGTAATAAGGTCCTTCATTTTTGAAATGCATCAAATGCATAATCTTTACGAATTTTGTAAGCAACAAATGATATTTCCGTAACTGTGGTAGGATCAGCCCCGGATCTAGGGGGGGGCAAACCGGGGCACCTGCCCCGGGCGGCAGTTTCAGAGGGCGCCAAAATCAATTTAGTACATTCTGTATTAACCTAGTTGGCAACACTGATAGCGTACGTATCTCTGCCGGGGGAATCCCCGTATGTCACATACGGGGATTCCCGGCAGAGACTCACATGTAGAACTAGAGGCTACACGAACCGAGCCGAATAAACCTGTACGTCAAGGGACTATCGTTGTTTGTTTATGTGATTGATTGCGTGTGCGAGTAATTATAATAATTATTAGCGAAACTATTGACTTAAACTACACCGTATTGAAAATAAACGCCTTACGAAATAATAGGTAAGTAATAAAAATAATATTATAAATCATATTATTTATATTATCTTTTCGATCCTATTGCTGTTCCTTAATGTATTATGTAATTGATGAAGTGTCTATAACTCATGTTTTGCTGGGCTCCGTAATTCAGTTACTTACCATAATATATATTATGAATATTTAGTAAAATATATATAAGATTTTTTTATGTTACCAAAAATAAATAAACTTTAATTTTCTGCTTAATTTAATTCCTTAAATAACTAGTAGTAGCCCTAGAATAGCTTGTGTGGCGCCCGGTCCGTCGTCAGGCGGCACTCTTGTGTTCGCGGCCAGTGGCCCAACGGCAGCACAAGCGCAATGGCGGCCATTACGTAAGCTCGTGTGCGTGCGGATTTTTGTCAGTGTAGTAGTGAATCAGCTGAACAGGGTGTTGTATTGGGTTGATAAGAAATGAAGTTGTTTCCTTAATTATCTCGGAAACTAGCCTGAATTTTTGGCTCAAACTTTGGGAACGTATTCAGTGTGACGTATACATGCTCCCATTAAACGGAACGTAGCTGATTTAGAAGGACCCTATATAAAGATGTATTTTTATTATTAGAAGTGGTTTCATTACAATAGTTCAGCGGATGACGGCAATCGGCAGTCCGATACTGGCAGCACCGGTGGGTAGGTATATTTAGCGGCTAGTCCATTATAATTTTAATTTTGAATTTGTTTTTTGGAGAAGGGACGTTATAATTATCGAACATTACCTACAGCTACGTACATTACATGTGTAGTACCTATTATAAATCATCAAACGGTTATCACATCGAAAGCGAAATCGATTGGAAGCTAAAGGTAATCGATGTTGCAGTTTTCTAAAGATAAGAATTAAACTGATTGAAATAGAAATGTAGTTGTAATTAGATACAACGTCTCTGGATCTCATTTAACAACATAAAGTAAGGTACTTGATACAAATAAGGCCTACCTAACTTTAAATGCTTATATTTCAATAAATATTAACGCCAGTCAACAAAAACAAGGATAATTAACTTCTTCCATCCTTTAATTTTAGCAATATTACAAAAAATAACACAATTTTTAACTAAATCTATTCAAAATAAGCAAATTACGAAACCACTGATTTTGGCTTTATTAAATCACCTACACGGAATAAGGCCTATATGATTCAAAAGCCTGTAGACCTTAAAATTGAGGTTGTATTAAACAAAATGCGGTCTTATAACATTAAACACGTCGGCTTGTTTGCGTTATCAAAATTTTACATACCAAGTAAACAGAAATATACTGTATATCTCTAGATAAACTTAAATTCCACTTATTAAGAATAATACATAAATTATAGTTAAAATTAAATATTCATAGTAACAAAGTAATGATTCCTTACTTAAATTATCAAAAAAAATATCAAAAACAAACAATATTATTTTTTTGTATAGGGCTTATTAAAACACCGTGTTCGAATAAGGCCTACACATAAAACCTTTTAAATAAATCAGTTTAGGAAAATCATTTAGTCTTGATTTTTTGTAAACAAAATGAGATCTCAATTTTCGTTAGAACCAGGGCATAAAAAGGCTTCTGAATCATCTTTACGAACTCCTACACAATCTTTATGATACCACCAAAAGCAGTCCTTTATGGTAGCATATCTGCTACATTGTCTTCGGGACAGGCATGATAATATCAGCTTTAATCCTTTAGAATTATACATACGGCTTTTTTTCTTATTTTTTATTGGTTTTGTATTTTGTTTCTTTTTTTTTACAGGTTTAGTATTTATTTTTTGCTCTGTTTTCTTTTTATTTTCTGTGCTGTTAGTAACATTCTTATTAAATAAATATTTAGTTACTCTTTGCCTCATTTAGTTTAATGAATTTGTCCGTAATCAGGTGTTGACATAAGTATCCAATATGGCCTACCATGCTGAAATAAGGCCTGGGCCTTATTAGATATCTCGCTCTTGTTGTCTTTAAAAATTTACAAATAATGCATCTATAGCCAGTAGTACAAATTAAGGTAATTATTAGCTAGTAAGAAATATTTAGAAACGATTACTAAGAAAAGCTTAATCTAAAACAGCGTTATTTTACCGAAAATTTAAGATGAAATCGCCAGATTTTTATAAGAGAGCACGAAATCACCCACCACCTTAGAAGAACGCGTGCCAATTGGTGCTGGGATCGTGGATCGGGACGCTCTTGCACTCTACCGGGTTGTAGGGCATATGAGTACGTGTCCTTGAAGTATTATCCCGGTTGGATTTGTTTATCTGTGTTTTCTGATGTATAGGCCTTATTAGAACGTAGGCCTTATTTGTATCAAGTACCTTATTAAATAATCTGATGCATTTAGAGAGGCCTATCACGGAATACCAGTAAGTGGTGTCCGTCTGCCTGGGTAAAAGATACTTACAGCTATTAGTACTGCTAAAAACGTGAATATAATCATGTGTCCCATATTAAGAAAGTCTAACTCCTCCTTGTGAATATACAGGTAATAAAGTTCACCAATAACGATGACGCTCGTGTGGTACGGCATCAACGCTCTGTGAACTCTTACGAGCAGTGACAGCTTCTCTCCGAATACATCCGCCGGCCATGCGCCCGGGGCCACCATGAAGATTCTTATGATTTTGAAATAATTCAGTGCTAAAGGGTCTCCTTCCCTGAAAAAACTTAATTCGTATGAGTTGCGTGTGTTAAAATATTTTAAAATGTTGCTCATTTTACCTATTTCAATTTTACAAATAATTTATTTTGTTGAACTGAATTTGGGTTGTTGTTAATTTGCCTCAAATTATACTCGTCACAGGAAAATATACGAGTAAAGTCACACTTCGTTGATTACTCATTTATTTTATTATGTAATGACGAAGAAAAACAAACAAAACCACTGTAAACATTGGCGGACGCTTTCTACAAAAAAAATACCTTTTGAATAACATTTCCGGAAAGTAGCAACTAGAAAAGAAGTTTAAAAATCGTCCAGTGCTATGAACACCAAGCTTTGAATGACGTGCTTCTGTGTAATTAAGCAATATTGTCAATATCGTTCTTAATCAAAATTAATTGTGATCATTATATTAACGATGAAAACAGGTTCAGTAACTCACTCCTTCACAACATAATCTTGATCAAAACATTTTAAATTCAATCTAGTAAGTACCTACCTTTTTTCAAAATCTCAGAGAATTATAGAGATTTTGGTCTATCTCTCAAAGATAGTAGTAATACCGCTTTTAAAGCCAAATAGAAAGAGATCCACTGCGTATTATTAAGATAATTCATTATTCTGAATTAAACCCTGTCAATGCTATCCGTATCTTATAATACAACTAACTAACTTATTACAAATGCCTAAGATGTAACTGTCTGTCTGCCTTGTTATCAAATGTAAATGGTATGAGGATAAGTACGTAGTTCATTTGGGAATAACAAAGGATAGTTTTTATTTATAATTCTGTAAATAGTCGGTCGTCAGTGTGGGTTTTAACTTTTACAGCGACCTTTCGTTAGTCATTACTTTAGTTAACTTTAAGGCGTGTCTTAAGCAGAACTGCAGCCGGGTGGTACTTAGTACTTTAAACAGAAATTTGTATGGGAAATCGATGATTTTACATTTTGGCCGTACGAAAAGTCATTAGGTATTAGCTACTATGCTTTGGTACGTTTTTCTGATTAATATTTTTTATGACAGATGACACGCGAATGAGTATAAAAAATGAAATAACTTTGATATTATGAGAAAATTGCACGTGTACAATCGCAAATTAAATTCGTATCCAATTAAATGTGTTATTACCAAGATAATAAGTCTGCATTTGACCTTGAGAACTCAGTACTACTTATGGTAAATAAGGATATTTTCTATGGTTTCTATAATGGTGCACCAGTTTTCTTTGACAGACCTTTAGTCTAGTCATTTGGTAGTTTTACCTGGAATGTTTTCCGGGAGTATCTAATGAAAATTGGTGTTTATATTATGTTTCCGATTTTCAACTTTGCGACCTCGTATGGTTGCCGCTCGCGCCGCCATATTGAAAAAATGCTGCCTAGTAGCAGTTTTTTTAATAGGGTAAACCATATAGCTGTTACGGTTAAAGTGATAAATTGAAAATTATGAATAATAACCGGTTATTATGAATAATTCCCGACAGTCGCGGTAAAAGTGATAAATTAATCACATTTAACAGTGATTATTTAATAATTCAACCTTAGTACTAACCAATTTCATAAAAGAGAACAACATCTTGTGTAGGTAGGGTAAGTGTGCTAGTTTTCGTCCAATTATCGGAGTTGCCAACTTTGTGATGCGAAATGAATATCTTAAAATACCCTTACTCATATGTATCATATGTCATTTTAGTCCTTATATAGTCTACTTTACGTTAATATTATATGACAATAAGTAAATACCACGGGTTTTTTTATAAAAAATATTTTATGCAAAAGAGGCGATTTCACTAGTTTTCGTCCTAGTGTACGCTAGTTTTCGACCACTGTGTAGAAAAAAGGGTGCAGTTGAATTATTAACTTAAAACCAATTCTACAATACAGTAACTATGGATTGGAGATGGGTTATACTAGGTAAATTTGATACTAGGTGCACCTATTCCTAGTATTTATTAATACTCGATCCAAATACCTATTCCACCTAGTACGTAGTAATTTAGCATACTTGACGCGACTAGTGCGGACTAATCCACGTAATATGACTTTAAAATACATTTTTTTTGAAAAGAGACAACCGTAGTATGAATAATGCAATTTGAAATTGAATAATAATTCCTCCCTTCATACTTCAACAGGCTTAGGATTGTCAACTTAAAAGTTGGCGTATTTAAAAAATATCAATTTCATAAAAATATTTACATATTTTTTCTTATTATTTACATGAATATGGTTTGACTACGTTTGTGTGCGTTTGCTTCGTCGCGCTCAATTTGTTTGGTCAGACAGAGACAGAGTGAATTTATACGTTCGCACATAAACTTAGCGAGAAATACTAGGTGCGCGTAATACACGACTACGGATTACGCAATAATAACCTCTATTACTTTGATGATAGGGTCGGAAATCGTGTAATTTATAAAATACTAGGTGGATCAAGTATTTAAAAAATTGGAATAGGTGCTGCCTAGTACTGTAAAATACCTAGTGTGTGGATCTGTTCTAGTAAAAACGTCTCATCTCTACTATGGATTGTGGTATATCATTTGAAAGGTAATTTTGTTAGCTTTCAAATGATATCAAAAAGAGTTCAATAAGTTTCTTACCTAAATTTAGGAAAATATTTCAATAGGTCGAAGGACAAATGGACGAAAACGAATCTACAGGAATAGCTAATTTTGGTTTTCGTCCACCCTAGTGCTTGCTCATGACGTCATGGACGAAAACACAACAACGTTTAAAGCTGTTTTTTGTTTTCGTCCACATCTTTTTAACGTTTTTATGTGTTTATCACTGTTAAAAAGTGGACGTAAACTAAAATGTTTAATGTAATAGCAATAAAGATAATATTGGAAGAAAAAACATTGTATTTTGTAGGTCCATTGAAGTAAAATAATTATTAAAAATATTAACTGGGTGTCAGGGTTTCCGTCCACATGGACGAAAACCAATATCTTGCAAAATTGTTATGCTAGTATTAGTCTACTTAATTATCTAAGATTTCTATACAAAAACTTTAATAAACCCTTAAAATAGTGTTTATTATGCTAATAATAAGACATACGTGCCAAAAACATAACGTAAAGTAGCTAAAACAGTAATTAAACATACCATGTAAGTTCCCTACCGGCACGTTTTTTTTCTAACTTGACGACGTTTTCCATTCACCTGTGTGCAGCAGCAACTTCCGTAGATTTTTTTGGAGTTATTACTTGTCAAATTACATTTTCATGCAGGCAGAACTGTTACCTAGATATTATAGATTATAACAAGTCCAAACTTGCACGGAAACTTAGGTTTGTATTCTAATTTTCCGTATTTGTTTGTGGCAAGTCGGTCAAATGGACGAAAACAGGAGCTGGACGGAAAACCGGCGCAATTACCCTACGTGTTCGTGTACAGCCAAACTTTTGAACGTTTTGATTCATAGGTATATTAATATAATTTGGCATAATGAGTTTGGAAATTTGGAATGTTTCTTGCATAATATTACTTTTCCATGATGCCTATAACATAATTTTTTAATTTAAAGTGAAAAATAGGTTAAGGTGCGGCGGGGGTGGCCCTTGGGCCACCCCTAAGCCGCCTATTTAGTTTTATACACACATAAATGACCTCATATTAATCACATTTACCAAATCATGCGGTAATTATTCACAATAACCGGCGATTATTAATAATTTTCACATTTATCACTTTGACCGTAACATAGCTATTGCCCACATAAGGATTTCAAACACATTGACATGAAAAATTCAAGAAAGTATTTTCATTATCTGGTCGATTATGACTTTTTTCTTAAAACTCAATAAACTGTTAAACAGAATATTAACAGCTTTTAGTTAAAACTTACATAACTTAGAAAATAATGAAATAAAATCCTCTAAAAAGTACAGTCATTGCCCATTACTATACTAATTGCCCACATCACAGCACAGTAATTGCCCAGTATCTTAAAGCAAAATAGACTTTAAACTTTTCGGTTTTATTAAACTTCTTCAAAGTAATATTAATCAACATTCTTTAAATTACAATACAATTTAGCACCAAAGTGCTCGAAAAGACAAATCCAGCAAACCCAAACTCGATAAGTTTCCACCGTTTCGTTTAGGAATTCTTATGGCTACCTCCTGACTCCATCATCAGGACCCTGGACATCATCTAGTACTAAAGTGCTCGAAAAGACAAATCCAACGAACCCAAATTCGATGCGATGCCGCCGTTTCATTTAGGAGTTTCTATGGCCACCTCCTGACTCCATCATCAGACCAGCTCAATTATGGTACCATAACATTGCATTGTCATCGTACTTACATAAGTATACCAAATTTCAGCTCAATCGGTTCAGGAAAACTGGTCTTAAATTCAGTTGCAAGAGTTGTCCCACACATACCTACAAAAAAGTGTCGTTAGTGATCTGGTTATAAAAACTGTTGTTCTGGGTTCTGGAAGTTCTGGAAGCCCGAAAATCTTTTTGGTAAACAGTATGTACTGGATTAACGATTAACGGACTCAGGATACCTAATTTAACGGAAGTTAACGAGTCCGTTAACATTTTTTAAAGTTAACTTAAAAGTTAATCCGTTAGTAGAAATGTTAACTTCGTTAATTAACGATTAACGGATTAATGAGTTAATGCCCAGCCATGCCTTTGACGATTGCATAAGATACCGTAGTGGTTACTGATTGTGTTGTTTTGATAACTTTTCTTTGATGTGCATTGTGGTGGACAGCCGCTCGGACGGGCAAAAATAACAAAATCCTTTGGTGAAATAAAGGTATATTTTTGCTTAAAAATGTCCAGACGGCTATCTAAATATACAGGGTGTTTCTTGTAAGGTGTCAAGCCAAAGGCAGGTGATAGGTGAGGACTAGACCTATCGATTTCACCCCCATGTATGTTCTACGATTTTTCGTAATTTAGAAGTGATCGTTAATTTTGTGATTTTTTTAAATTGTATGACCTAGTAGGCTTTAAATTTTTTTATCTTTTTTTTAGGTTAACTTTTCTCAGATTTCTTTTTTTTGACAGATTCCCTAGTAATTGCAGATGTTTGAAAAAAATATCACCTTCCTATCTTTGATGCAAGATACAAATTTTTTGCTAGAAAAATAAAAAATATGCTTTTTTTTAGCAGAACATTCTAAAATTTTCAACTTAAAAGTTTGAAAAAAAAAAAAAGAAATTCCATAGGTCCAAAATAATTTTAAAAACTGCGCAGTTTTCTAAACTTTCATAACAACACAAAAAAACATGTACTTAATAGGCCATTATTTTCTGTAATCGCTCTACTAAAGTAGTAAGTCGGAGATTCCGTTACATGTTTTTGACTTTCTTAGAACTAACTAATGTTTGCAATCCACTAAGTTTACGTTACGTAGAACACGTTTAGAGAAACTGAACAGAACATTTTTCATCCACAACGGTTCCACAAGAGCTTCCTGCTCTTGCCCTTCATCTGACCTGATGGAAAGTTGGAAACTGATGGATGATTAGCGAGCTTCACCCGGAATCCTAAACCACAGAGGAATTGGCTGTCCTAAATAGGTACTCTTACCACTAGACCACAGTGGTGATTGTTACTTTACGATTAAATTTGATATACCTACCTATTAGAGTGTGAGAGAAAAGGAAAGAGTTTNGTGGAGCGATTACAGAAAATAATGGCCTATTAAGTACATGTTTTTTTGTGTTATTATGAAAGTTTAGAAAACTGCGCAGTTTTTAAAATTATTTTGGACCTATGAAAATTCTTTTTTTTTCTCATACATTTTAGTTGAAAATTTTAGAATGTTCTGCTAAAATCATATTTTTTATGTTTCTAGCAAAAATTTTGTATCTTGCATTAAAGATAGGAAGGTGATTATTTTTTTCTAATATCTGCAACTAATAGGGAATCTGTCAAAAAAAAGATATCTGAGAAAAGTGAACCAAAAAAAAGATTAAAAAAAAATTAAGCCACTAGTTCATAAAATTTGAAAAAAAAAAACACAAAATTAACGATAACTTCTAAACTACGAAAAATCGTAGAACATACATGGGGGTGAAATCGATAGGTCTAGTCCTCACCTATCACCTGCCTTCGGCTTGACACCTTACAAGAAACACCCTGTATACAAGGTGACTGACTGACATAGTGATCTATCGACGCACAGCCCAAACCACTGGACGGATCGGGCTGAAATTTGGCATGCAGGTACATGTTATGACATAGGCATCCGCTAAGAAAGGATTTTACGAAACTCCACCCCTAAGGACGTAAAACGGGACCCACGCGTACGAAGTCGCGGGCGGCCGCTAGTTTAAATATAAACACAGAAAATATATACAGGGTGGAATTTTGTAATGCCACCTGGAGGGAAAGTACCTACTCTTAATACTGTAGATAGAAAATTTAACTGAAAGGAAACATTACTTAATTTAGGAAAAGAAATAGAAATAGATTAAGAGTACTTTCCCTCCAGGTGGCATTACAAAATTCCACCCTGTATATTGTTTCACTCTCAGACTAAAGAACTATTGAGCTTGCATGTGCAGAGCTAGAGCAGCCTATTATTATGTACAAGCCCCCACCTGCAAATTACCAATTATTCGAATACACTATGGAGGATGTCTTGAAAAATGTATTTAAATGTTACGGTTAATGTGATAAACTGAAAATTATTAATAATAACCGGTTATTATGAATATTTACCGACAGTCGCGGNAATCATCCGGTCAACACACTGTTTTTCAAAAGTCATAATAAATCATCGCTCTTGAATTTTCTCGAGTCAATTCCATTTTCTCAACGACTAAACAAGATTGACAAGACCTTGTGATACGACCGAGAATCTTTTTTTAAATAAATAAATGGTATACGATTTTTAAAACCCTGGACTTTGCAATTAAATAGATTTTAATATGACTGGAACAGTGGAAATATTCCATTCCCGATACTTTTAGTGCAGCCCTCGTACCATATTTCATATTACTGATATGTATTACCAGAGATATTATAGAGTTGCACTTGTGCCTCTTTTGGAAAGTGTTTAAAATCAAAGTCAGGTATTCGGATCTTGAGCGCTCGGCCAATGAGTTGGGTTTGCTTTGAGAAACGTTAATTTAAAATGTAAAGTGTTGTAATTTGTCGCTACTGGGACTACCTTTGCAAATATTCCTAAACATAATCAAAACATTCCCTCTGCGCTCAAGATCTGTGCCGGAGACTTTATCTCAGGCAACATTCGTTGTGGTGTGAATTCATTTCGGTGTGAATCCCCATAAAGGGTTATTCCAACATTAATAACAACAACATACCCAATTATTTCTTTATGATGTTCAATGCATTCTGCCAATTTAAAACGCACTTCTTCGTTTTCTTCAGCGTCAAACATTTCGGAAGTGATGCTCTCGTTCATTTTGTATTTTAAAATATCCCCTAGTTTGAAAACCACTTTATTTTTTGGCCACCGAAAGTTCTCAAGGTTGTATCTCAGGATGTACACGTGCCCGATTATTTGGAAAATTATTAAAAACAATATTAAATCTAGTCCAAACACCATAATAGCGCAATTGTACGACAGATAGACATTGTATATCGATGTAATCGTGAAGTAATCGCTCGGGTCAATTCCGGGATATTGGTAATATAAAGCAAATTCCAAAGTGTAGTTTTCAGTTTTAAAAATAAATACGTTTGTAACATTATTATAGAATGGTATAAAGTTAAACATCAAGCAAGAAAAAAAAGTTATTACTAACGAAAATTTTGTATAATAAGAACAAACTTTGTCGACAGTATCGTTCATCTGAAAAAAACATAATAATGTGACTGACTATTATATGGATGATTTTACATTAATTACTTAGTTAGATAATTATCGTTAAATACTGCAACTTCTTGTAAGCTACTGATCAATTAAAATAATCGGAATCAACTTCAAGAAAAATACATATTTTATAAATTCATATTCAATGCAAGTTTTATTCTGTTCAAAACACTTTTTTTATGTGACAGGAGGCAAACGAGCAGACGGATCACCTGATGGTAAGTGATTACCGTCGCCCATAGACACCCGCAGACCCAGGGGCGTTACAGGTGCATTGCCGGTCTTTAAGGTGAAGATACGCTCTCCTCTTGAAAGCTTGCAGGTCGTATCCGTCCGGAAACACCGCAGGCGACAGTCCATTCCACAGTTTGGTTGTACGGGGCAGGAAGGTTCTAGAGAAACGTACTGTTGTGGACTGCCAACCATCTAAGTGATGGGGGTGGAAGTGCTGTCAAGCCGATCCGAAATGTCCTGGCAGTCAACGATTCGAGCTGCTCTCCGTTCAATGCAGTCCATAGGGAGAAGCTGGTACTGGGGCGCATCTGCCCAAAGATGAGAACAGTATTCCATATGTGGCCGAACCTGCGCCTTGTGAAGTTGCAGACGATGGGCTGGAGTGAAATACCGTCTCGATCTATTGAGCACACCAAGCTTCTTCGAGGCTAATTTAGCCTTACCGTAGAATGGGGTTACTTTGTTTCACGGGATGACTTTGATCGAAACTTCCATTTTGTATAAAATCACGAATTGCGTAAAACGAAACGCATTTGGTAGTTTTTTTTAGATTAGTAACACTGAAGAACTATCAGTTCCTTTTTTAGAACACGCGGGAAATTCGTCTATAATTTTAATTAAAAAAGGTTAATATAATGTTTTTATTTATTTATAGCTAAATAATTGTGTTGCAAAACTTCATTTGTGTACTTATTTAAGTGATAGTAAAATGAAATTTCTAGATATACTCCATCATGTGGCCTATGATCGATTATCCCATACAGTGCTTAATGTTTTTCTAACTTCAAAGATAATGGAATGACTTGAGTTTGTTTGATGCGGGGTGTCATTGATAGGGTATATGGTGCGAGATTGATCAAAAATGATCAAATTATCCCCAGAGACTATACTCCTCTTTAAATGGTAATATCCACTGGTAGTCGAAGGTTTCAAATTTTTGGAATATAAAAAAGAATTCAAATTAGATCGCGATGATATATCTGAAATTAGGAGAAGTTAAATAATTAATCTACCTGCCAAAACCAAAGCCTTTAGCAATTCTGGATAGTCGTTGAATGTGTCCAATTTTTTTTATATTGATATTGCAGAACTTGTATGACTTAAGTGAATTTATATGATTTTTCTTATTGTTTTGATGCATAAATTCAATATTATTTATTTTTTTAAGACAAATTATTTTTATAATTATTTTTTAAATTTTATTTTGTAAAGTTTAATTATTTCTAAGTTCTTTTCGTTCGTAAAATCAATAAATAATACTGATTGAATGCTAAAATTTTAATACCAACATTTTAGTAACGAAATACAGTTAATTATTTGATGACTTTTACTAGATCAAAGTTATCCCATATGACAAAAATGTCAATAACTATTTATCCCGTTGGCAGATTTTGATTTTTTTAAATCTATTGGTATTATAATTGTGGTTACTTTCTATTTACGCAATAAAATCTGGGGATATCAAAGTAACCCCATTCTTCTTTTAGCTTTGATCACATACTTACTTTTTATTTTTTTCTCAAAATTGAGCTATATTTTTTCATTTTTTATTACACGAATCGAGAGTACTATAAAAACCGATTACTTATTAGACTTTTTTTGTATTTTTTTACACCCACAGATTTAAAAGATATGGACCTTCAAAGTTCAAAATTGGCCAAAGTAGCCCCATTCTACGGTACCTTCTAAGTGACCACGGAACTGGACTTCGCTCGATATGTCGACACCAAGGATTTCGATATTGGCTGAGGCAGTTAGGGGAGTGCTCTCGAAACAGCGGGATACGACAAACGGCAACTTTTTGGCGGTGAACGCGCAAACTTGTGTCTTTGTAGGGTTAAATTGGACCAAATTGCGATCACTCTTGATTTGTTCCGATTCCGATAAGTACCAAATTATTTACCTGATTGTAATACCGTCCTTTATTTGTGGAATGCATCAAATGCATCACATTTATAAATTTTAACAGCAACATATGATAGTTCTGCAACGGTGGTAGTATACTTCGGACCTGTAAACGTAATATTTTTAGGTTGGCTCTCCACACATTAAACCAATATTAGGTAATATACAGTGTGTCCGGGAATATAGTGATCAAACTTTAAGGGCGCGGCTAGTCATGTAGTCGTAATAGGTTGTGTGATTCTTTCAGGCAGTCCATTTTCGCATGTTAACAGCGCTATGGAACGGCTGGGAAGGGGTATCTTTGTTCAACAATAATGTCGAAACTAATAGACAATGTACGTCTATAAAAGACAATGCCGGAAATTGGCGTCTTTTTTTTTTCGCGCGGCCATCGACCAAACTTTGTTTTTTTTATTACAAAATAGTGTAATAAACCAAACTTACTATGACATGTATACCTCTAAACTCAGTCTGAACTGAGTTACGAGCATTAGAAGTTTGATGATTTTCATACTAGATTTGCTTTTTGCGCGCAACAAACTTTGTTTTTTGATTACAAAATAGTGTAATAAACCAAACTTACTATGACATGTATACCTCTAAACTCAGTCTGAACTGAGTTACGAGCATTAGAAGTTTGATGATTTTCATACTAGATTTGCTTTTTGCGCGCAAAGTTTTGTAAGAAATTGCAACAAAATAGTGAGACTGTATGTGTAAACAAACAACACCATCCATTAAAGGCTCCAGACATCAGTATGGAGCAGAATCAGCGCAATAAAAAAATAGCGCAATATTTTGTTGCAATTTCTTACAAAACTTGCGCACAAAAAGCAAATCTTGTATGAAAATCATCAAACTTCTAATGCTCGTAACTCAGTTCAGACTGAGTTTAGAGGTATACATGCCATAGTAAGTTTGGTTTATTACACTAATTTGTAATCAAAAAACAAAGTTTGGTCGATGGCCGCGCGAAAAAAAAAGACGCCACTTTCCATACAAAATCTGGCACTGCCATTTACATTCGTTTTGTAGAATAGCTCAAATACTAATAATACAATGTAAATAAAACATACTTTAACGACCTGGTTTTTCTTGTGTTGGAAAATAACTGAAAAAGAAGTGAAAAAAGTCATGTATTTTTCTAATTAAATCCATTCTTATTCCAATAAAATGTATGAAACTTGTGTCTGTTTCTACTTCTACTAATAGATAATTTTATTGGCTATCACATGATATAAAATATAAATTTGCTTATTAATGTTAAGCTACCCAGGCTTTAACTTGTTTTTGAAGGAAGAGGTGAAAACTAAAAATGAAAAACGTAAATCCTTGTAATTTTGCGGTAAAATTGGTCAAGCCCCAAATTTAAAGTATTTTTATCGATAAAATTGTCCCTAGATCTCGCCCTTAAAGTTTGATCACTACATGCCCGGACACATTATATATCAACCATTCTCTATCCGAGAACAAAGACACTCACCGCTGTTAGTGTTCCTAAAAGCGCTGTTATAATCATATGTCCCAAATCGAGAAAACTTAACTCATCCATGTGCATCCATATGTAGTAAAATTTTCCGACGACAATGAGGCTCGTGTGGTACGGTAGAGTCGCCCTGTGAAATATCACGAGCACCGAAATCTTCTCTCCGAATATTTCCGCCGGCCATGCGCCTGGGGCGACCATAAAGGTTCTTATACTTTTAAAGTATTTCAGTGCTAACGGACTTTTTGTTCTGCAAAAATTTGCTGTGTAAAGGTTTTTAATATTTATTATACTACTAAATACGCAGAATCAAAGTCGATTAATAAAAGACACAACAAATAGGTAGGTGAGGTGATTTCATTTCTTTTTCTAACTAAATTCCTCCACTGCTAGACAAAGATCCTTTCCAGGAGTAACCACGCCCACGGTCCTACGATAGCTGCATTCAGGCGCTTCCCGCATCCTTCCCATTGGTCCACCAGGGGGAAGATCTGCCTAAATATGTCTTCCTAGCTCGCAGACCGGGTGGCCGTTCAGGTATAAACGACTAGATGTACGTACATACGAGTAGAAATACTTCACCAATGTTTACTGCTATACATACCTTGTGAATAACATTGCAAAGAATTGCCTACAGGGATTCAACAAAGAAATTTAAAAATTCCATAAACTACCACAACAACTGAATAAAGAGCTATGAATGGCGTGCTTGTTTGTCAATTTTAATTAAGTCAGTTGTATTATCTTTATTGCAGTTCATGGAATTGATGAAGAACGATTCAGTAGATTTTTGCAAAATAATTATAACGTAAAAATATTAAGCACAATGAAAAAGCAAAAAAAGCCCTCTGAACATGTTTCGCTCGTTCGTACTTTTATGTCAAACTAGCGGCCGCCCGCGACTTCGTACGCGTGGATCCCGTTTTACCCCGGTGTTTAGATTTTTTCATACAAAAGTTTTTTCCCGCTAACTCCCGTTCCCGTGGGAATTTTGCAATATCCTGTTGTAACTAAACTTTAAGTTTACTAAGATACCTGCTGCATGTCAAATTTCAAGCGTCTAACTTAAGCGGTTTAGATTTTTCATACAAAAGGATTTTCCCGCTAATTCCAGTTCCCGTGGGAATTCCTAAGTATACTATAACCTGTCCAGGAGTATGAAAAATAATTGTACCAAGTTTCGTTAAAATCCGTCGAGTAGTTTTTGTTTCTATAAGAACATAGGTACAGACAGACAAAAATTTTACTGATTGCATTTTTGGCATCAGTAGGTATCGATCACTAATCACCCCCTGATAGTTATTTTGAAAATATATTTCATGTACAGAATTGACCTCTCTACTGATTTATCTACACTAATATAATATAATATAATATAATATAATATAATATAATATAATATAATATAATATAATATAATATAATATAATATAATATAATATAATATAATATAATATAATATAATATAATATAATATAATATAATATAATATAATATAATATAATATAATATAATATAATATAATATAATATAATATAATATAATATAATATAATATAATATAATATAATATAATANGTTCACCGTATAAAAAAATTTTTGAAGCAAAATTTGTAGAGAATTTAGTATTCCACAATATTGATAATAAATACAAATAGCAAAAAACCCATAGGAAATGAGATATTTCTAAAAAACGCGCAAAATACCGATTTTTGTGACCGTTGACCTTGAAATTTAATAGTTGCTTACACCCTACCATATGTAGGTTTTGAGACAACTTTTAGGGTGTCAATATACCTACACGTATTTACAGACTTACAGCTGGGTATCTCGAATTCCGAGGTGAACTTACTATAATGACTGGACTACGGTGAGTAAATACGATATTGTTTTTCTGTGACAGACAAAATTCTACGCGGGCGAAGCCGCGGGCGGAAAGCTAGTCACCAGCTATAAATAAATCATAGGTACCTCTGAATGGTCACATACATGTCCAATTTTTTTATTGCGGTTTTTAAAAAAATATCAAAAATGTTACAAAACAAAATATGTAGTACAACAATTGGACATGTGACTATTCAGAGGAGGTGTGATTGATTTGTTTGTAGGTGATCAAAGGACACTAAAATAATAATTTAACTAGAGTCCACTTGGATCACCCAGGACATCGTATCCGTGGGTGATCAAAGGCACAGAATAAATAAGGACACTTAATTGTCGCTGGAAGTTCACTTTGATCACCTGGGTGATCAAAGCCAGGTGATCAAAGTGGAATAGACCTCCTTTTAGAACGTAGGTGGTCACTAAGACGAAATTTTGCAAAATTCAACCCTTATGGGAGTTAAAAAAGGGGTTGGAAGTTTGTATTGCAGTCCTCGGTTTTTAAGGTAAGAGACTTGAAAGTTAAAATGTATGCTCACTAAGATTTCTACATATTGTGGAGGTGTACATATACTAAAAATGTATCATTAGAAATCAACTACGGGGGCTAAGGAGATAAAAGGAGGGTTGGAAGTTTATGTTATGAAAGTCCTATGTTTTTAAAGTAAGAGAGTTGAAATTTAAAATGTATGCGCTATATATTATTATGCTAAGAGCGGATTTTACGAAACTCCATCCGTAATGGAGTAAAACGAGGTCCGAAATATATTTTCAAAATAACTATCAGGGGGTGATTAGTGATCGACACTGATGCCAAAAATGCAATCAGTAAAATTTTTGTCTGTCTGTCTGTATGTTCCTTATAGAAACAAAAACTCTCGACGGATTTTAACGAAACTTGGTACAATTATTATTCTTCATACTTCTGAGCAGGTAGTATGTATACTTAGGAATTCCCACGGGAACAGGAATTACCGGAAAAAACCTTTTGTGCCTATAAAAAAGCTTGAGGCATGCATGGACCTTAGTAAACTTAAAGCTTAGTTACAACAGGATATTGCAAATTTGCCACGGGAACGGGAGTTAGCGGGAAAAAACAGTTGTATGAAAAAATCTAAACCGCGTAAGTAAGATGAAGGGGGTAAAACGGGATCCACGCGTACGAAGTCGCGGGCGGCCGCTAGTTATAAGTAAAGATAGATGACGTCCAGCAGTGACTGGACAAAGGCCTCGGGCCTCGCCCAAGGATTTCCACAAAGACCGATGCCGCGCTGCTCGCATCCTGGTTCTTCCAGCCTTCACTAGATCGTCAGTCCACCTAGTGGGGGGCCTATACCCACGTCTTCCGGCCCGTGGTCGCCACTCGAGAACTTTTCTGCCCCAATGACCATCATCTCTACGAGCTATGTGCCCCGACCACTGCCACTTGATTTTAGCAATTGAACATTGTATTAAGTAATAATGATTCAGTATCACACTCGCTTTTTGGCCAGACTTCACCTAATTAGACATTCAGTGAGGACTCTCCTTGACGGTAAAATAACTGAACTAGAAACTTTAGGGACAAGTCGCACGCTTGCTCTAAGGATTGTACAAGCAAACCCACTGTTCATCATTTTAATGCGGATATAACCCGCACGAGTAGGTAATATTCTCAATTTAATAATAATTGTCCTGTCAAATCATAAATGTAATCATTTTAATAGAATCATCGTATTATGAGAAAATTGCACATGCAAATTAAATTCACAGCAAGTTGTGTTTATTATTAACGGTTGGATATTTTCACGTAGGTACAGTCAACAGCGAATCAGATACACATTAATTAATTGTTGCAAAGTAGCACCTATGACCATAGCTGGGCACCGTTAATCAAATAGTTAACTTCGTTAATCGTAAAACCGTTAATAAAAAAATTAACTTCGTTAAACGTTAAAACGTTACATTTTGCAAGATTTAACGCAAGTTAACGTTAATCGTTAATCCAAACACATGATAATAAAACGAAAAAAATAATCGTATGCAAGGTTCAAATAATTTTGAAAGCGTATCGCGCATGGAATTTATTCCTCTTTTATGTTTTCGCTACAAGCTTTCGAAATTATTCGAACCTTGCATAAGTACAATTATTTTTTTCGTTTTAGTACAACTGCAATTCAGAATAAAAGCTTGTTTTTAAAAAAGTTTAAAACACTTTTTAGTAGCAGGGGAGAGAGGAAGGCAAAGCGGACCACTTAACAAAAAAAACTATAAAAATTATAATAAAAAGAAACTTTTTTAAAAACAAGCTTTATTCTGAAGTGCAGTTGTACTAAAACGAAACAAATAATTGTATGCAATGTTCAAATAATTTCGAAAGCTTGTATCGCGCATGGAATTTATTCTTCTTTTTTCTGTTTGCGCTACAAGCTTTCGAAATTATTTGAACATTGCATACAATTATTTGTTTCGTTTTAGTACAACTGCACTTCAGAATAAAGCTTGTTTTTAAAAAAGTTTTTTTTAATCATAATTTTATTTTACACTTTTTAGTTGTCAATCTGGGCCCTGGTCATCATTTAGCACCAAAGTGCTCGGGAAGACGAATCCCGAATCAAGATTTGTCACACGGATTACTAATGTTTGGCCAAAAAACGTTTCCCAAATTATCACATCGCAAACAACGTATGGCAAATTTTTATTTGGCAAATTCTCACTTGACAAAACAACTTATTGCAAACTTTTAATTCGCAAATGTCGTTTTTGGCATATTATGGTTTGGCAAAGTATGTTTTGCCAAATGTTTCATTTGGCAAAAATATTTCACGATAAACTATTTACAAAACAATATTTTGGCATAAAATTTTAAATAAATAAATAAATAAATTGGTGCATTGAATGGAATAAAAATTAGTTTGTGGTTATTATTTTGTTTAGTGGGATTAATTTTCATATTTCATTATTTTCCAAATGATTAATTAACAATAGAGGTGATTCTAGCGCTTGGCGGCCGCTGCTGCGGCACGCTTCGCTCGCCTTCGCGCGTTAAAAGGGTTACTGTTCTAACCTAACCTAACCTACTATTTTCTACAATACCTACTTTCTGCAATCATACTATTTTCTGCAATCTCTTTGTTTTACACAAAATTCTTGTGAAACCACGATCATGACATGACAATTTCAGGAGTAGTTCAGAGAGTCAAGAGAAACCTTCATCTCAATTCATGATTTGATTAGTAGAAATAGGGATATCTACCTCTCGATGTGATCCCGCTGTCACCAAGTCAGGGTCTGATGTTCGGATCCTAGGGAAATCGCGGCAAACCCTCAAATTTTATGGGCACGTATTACCTACGTTTTTCCTATTTTTTTTCTTAAATTCAAGCATCTGAAATTCATCATTTCATGTTGAGCTGATGATGGGAGGTAAAACTCCATAACGTTTACGAGTTGGAGGATAATTCTTTAAATATTACAGGTACGAATAGAGCGACATTTGTATCCTTTCGGGTTATTAAGGTTGGCTGATGATGGAAGGCTGACATTTTAGGTTGCCAATTTACAAACTTGTAACTTACTAACCTGTAATTTGTAGGGAAGATGTTTTTTACACCTAACATGGGAAGAATATTGCGCGGCGCAGCACGGTGTAGGTGGGGAAATTCATATGCCTGAGTGTTCTTACTCTAAACTTCTAAAGGTTCGACCAAAGCAACGCGCCCGCGCCATCGCTCTTTTGACAGGGCGCGGTACAGAGCACCACTCGCGGCGTTCATCGTCCGCGCATAGCCCGACACAACACCATGTATTTATATTAAGATGCGTATATTTCATATCTTAAGATAACATAT